TAGCGAAATCAAATTATAATGAAAAGAAATTAAAATGATCCTAAAATATCATAACACATCTCAAATAACTTATTTTATAATATTCTTCCTAAATATTTTTTGGATCAGACACAATTATTGGAAAAGGGACGAGGAAGTTCGAATATGCAACTTTAAAGTCCGACAATAGGGGCAGGGACTATTGGACTAACCGTTGTGATTAAAAAAGGGTTTTGAGATATTTTTACTCAAATTTAAGTTTGAATCTAAAAAGGGACAAGAATTGGTGATGCTCTAACCTCATATTCTTCCTAAATTGAGTTGCATACCAACCCTTATTTTTGTAATAAATTTGTATATGGCATGAAATAAGTAATTCTTTAATGCCATAACTTTACCTGGAAAGAATTATTGTACAAGCGCATGTGTTGAAGATCTGTGAAGGTTCCAAACCAAGAGGGTATCTGTCCGGTGAACTCATTAAATGACAAATCAACCTCTTTCAACCGACCCAAGTGAGCTAGTTCTTGGGGTAGAAAGCCATGAAAACTGTTAAAACTAATGTCAAGTGAAGCTAGAAATGAGAGGTTTCCCAGATGCGGAGCGATGGTGCCTTGGAGACCCATGTCAGAGAGATTCAAGGCAGTGACTCTCCGATGACGAACGCTGCAAGAGACACCAGTCCAATTACAAATAGTGGTTGAGGTGGACCAGTTGGTTGCCAAGATGTTATAAGGGTCTGAAGTTATGTGGGCTTTGAATGCTAGAAGAGCTGATTCATCTGTGGTGAGGTTGTTCATAGTGTGTGAGGAAGCCATGAAAGAGTTCATCACCAAGAAAATTAAGACAGGGAAGAGAGAGAAAGTTTTGGCCATGAGTTTGTAGGAGTTGGAGCGAGATGTCTTGAATTCAAACTTGGTTCAAGTGGATAAGAAAGAAGAAATTATAGCCTTCTATACTAGTTTTCTGTGTTTGATCTTGATACTCTTTGTCCTGTTGTGACCACACAATGCAACTACTTCTAAATTTATTTAAGGACAAATTACATGTTGTGATTACACTTTGCTCCCAAAAACTATCTACACATCATTTGATTGGGGGTTCAACAAAGTGATACACGTCTCTATGCAATTTGTAATATATGCATGCAATGGGAAAATGTGAAATCAATAACATTAGTTCGAAAGATAATGTGATAAACACGACAATTAAGGGTGCAATATGAAATATGAAATAGTTGAGGGGTCAAAAATTATATTTTGGCTAATTTGTAAGACAAATGTAATTGTTTATTATAAAAGTAATTTACGGGAAAAGTATCTTGACTTTTAGTCTTTTTTATAAGTACCCGATAAGAATTAATAATTACATGAGAACCTCTTTAGAACAAGTTGGTTTATTGTCCTTTTCAATAGCAAAAACAGAAAGAGAAGGGCACCACAAAGATGACAAACATATTATTTTCAATCTCGTGCAACGACAAGCGTAAGAAATAACCAATCTGAGCAAGCAAACTGCCCTTTGGGGTTTTTTTTTCAAACTTGTGAAAATTTTCACTTTCCTCTCAATTGTCAAAAGTTGGTTCGAATACAGAGCATCATTTGTCCAATAAGAACATGGGATTGTAATTTAAGGATCTAATTTGCTATTATTATTTTTGAATTAATAATGAATTCTAACATTAATAAAGTATATTGTGTCCCCAAAATATAACATTAATAAAGCCGGATTTATTGAGGACAACAACCGGAAGACTTTTCAAAAAAACTGCTACGGTACCAATATTAATCACATTTGTGAATTTTTTATTATTATTGTGATATTGCAAAAAAATGGTAAAAATAATTATCACAACAGTGATAAAAGTATCCACAAAAATAATAATTTTTTTTTCTACCAAAAAAAGTTACAAAAATAGTTTCCACAGGAGTGATAAAATTAAAAACTCCTACAAAAGTGGTATTTTTTTATTTTTTATTTTTTTGTAAAATACCTACAAAAATTATAAAAAGTAAAAACACTCATTAAAATAGTAAAATTTGTTGATATTATATCAAAATTATTTGTTTGGGTACCCTAGTTATGTCCTACATTTTTAAAATAGTAAGTGTGTTCAAATTTCTGATTACCCGAATATTTCAATCTTATCCTACACTACTGATCGGCTACCGCAAAAAATTGGATAGGCTAACAGAATAAATTTTTGTATTTTACAAAAATCGGGTAAGAATGTGAAATACCTATAAAAATTTTGTCTTCCTATCCGCATATATATATTTACTTTTTAACATTTTGAAAAATATGTGTATCTATGTGTTTAATTTTTAACATTTTTAACACTGTTAATGTGTGCAAAAACCACAAATTAATGTGTCAAATTTTTAACATTTTAGCATTTTAACATTTTTAATATTATTGTGTTGGTTAATTGGTGTAGGTTATTTAATTGAATTGTTAAATTGATGTAAAAATGAATAATTAAAAAATATTTTATTCACCCGACTTCCTACCCAATTATTTTAGATGGAATTCGAATAGAAATAATACATTTGATCGAGTAGGGTAAGCTACGAAAAATATTTTTCACAAAATATTGAATAAAAAATTAAAATAACATAATTCCTACCCGAGTCAACGACCCCGCTTCCCTCCCTATCTCCATTTGTCTGCACAATTAATTAGGGTGTTCACCCTACCCTACGGGTTGGAGATATAGTCTTTCGTCTTCTACCTGATACTTTGCGAAAGAATTTTTTCTTGACCTACTCTACCCGATCAGGTGTGGTATTCTTACCCAACTTCCTATCCGATTGATCAGGTAAGATATCGAGAAGGAAGTCGGGTAAACATTTTTGTATCTATTAATTTTTGGATCATTTTAACAATTCAATTAAATAACATGCACTAATTTAACAGCATAATAAATCAATAACACTAAAATTTAAAATAATTACAATAAAACACAAAAAAGTATGGACATCAATAACAATTATTTTTAATTTAAATCATATGAAACACATTAAAATCATAATTGTTTCAATAAATTACCAGTTAATCACAAATCATATAACCTACACAAAAAATAAGTTCATGTTTTAGCAACTCAAACATCCACAATAATAATAATGTTATAATATAAATTATACCACACAAATACTCTTACAATTACTAAAAAAAATATTAAAAAATTAAATATATTTTTTGCATATAAGAAAGGGTAGAAATGTGAAAATTGATGGGTATTCCGCATTTTTACCCGATTTAATCGAAAGATTAAAAACTCTTCCACATTTTTATTTAATTTTTGTGATTAACCGTTTAATAGGGTAGGATAAAATCGAATAGACTAAAAAATTATGATCAATCAAAAATTTGAATACCCTCGTGGCTAACTGAGACACAGCTTTCGTACTAACTTTCAAGCCATTAATACTGAAAACGTGGTGGTTACAACCTGCCATTTTCACACTGGTCCAGCCACTCAATACAGTGTAGTACATTGCTTTCAAAGCTATCTTTTCAGCCGTCCTCCTATTTGCTATGATTGTCTATAATAAATTTTTCAACCGTTAATATGCCATTAGAGGGACGTCCAGATGATGCCAACCAATTTATAGATGTTGACTTAGTCTTTGGTAAGAAATATAATATTAATTCTATTGTTATTGATTATATTGATTCAGATTATGCTAGTTATCTAGACAAAAGAAGATCTCTCTTTTTAGGTGCATTGTAAGTTGTAGGACGATCTTACAATCTACAGTTATTTTGTCTATCAGAGAGACAAAATATATAACAATATTAGAGGTAGTTAAAGAAACAATTTAATTGAGAAGTTTGGTCAATGACTAGGACTTGGAAGAGGAGGTAACTATTGTATTTTATAATAGTCAAAGTATAATATATTTAACCAAAAATTAAATGTATCATGAAAGGATCGAATACATTGACGTTAGATATCACTTTCATCCTGACTCAAAATATTGTCATAATGAATAAGGTTGTTACAGTGAAGAACCCAATAGACATTTTTACTAAGCCGATACCAGTACTCAAATTTAAACATTGTTTGAACTTAATTGATATTTGTACCGTTTGAGTTGTACACTACGGGGTATTTGGTGAAGACAACAACCAAGTTCACTTTAGTTGAATAGCGTGATGGAATACAAGTCAAGATAGAGATTTATTATATATGACTTGTATTCAAAATCTAATTGGATCCAATTTAGTGGACGTCATTCAGAATTTATGGGCACCGAGGTTTTGGTGGGTTTAAAGATATCAAGGATAGTTCATAACAATCCTTATCTACACCAACTTGGTTAAAGGTGGTTTTGCCCAACACATAATGGACTTTGGGGGAAACGCTTTGACTTTAGAAGTGTTTGGAAAAAAAAGGAGTCCAGAAGCTTAAAGCTTGGGAATGAGGGCAGAAGACGCTTTTCAGCTCTTTGAGTACTCCTAATGCTTTTTAGGGCGAAAACGTCTCCTTTTTGGTGGTATCTTTCTGGCGGTTCGTGATTATGGGTGTCTGTGGACGTGTTTTCCCCATAAACATCCATCAATTGTGTGGTAACTGACGTGGAAGGTCCTTCTAACAGTAAACTGGTTATTTTTCATAGACTGATACCAGCTTTTGAAGCAAAATTTTGAGCTGTCTCCACATTAGTTCCCTAGACCACAACCATCTGAAAAATAAATCGAAAACCAGAGGAGCTCTAAAGTTGATCCTCCAATGCTTATGTTAGTATTAGGTCCGTCAACGGATCGGATATAAACCGAATTGGCCTATATCCAAATCTGAATTTGATTTCCGACAAATTTAAAGAATTCAATCCATGTCCAAATCCATTAATTTTTGGACATCTGATCCCATTTGATTATCACAAAAAACACACGTACAAGAATTTGGATAATGAACTAAAAAAAAGGAGGAAAAATGAAATTTTAAAGTAAAAACATGAGGGAAAATCAAACAAGAGGGCAAAAAAAATTTCATGAATAATACATTATAATATTCACTCTATTTGTTCTTATTTTCCGCTATAAGTATAATATATTGATGATATTTATTTACATAATACATTTTTTATTTGAATCAGATTAATAACAGATCGGATTATTATAAATCCATATCCGAATCCGTTTAAACAACTCTAGTCGGATTCTGATCAGATTAGATTAATGGATTGAAAATCTAATCCATATCCGCTTAAACAGATTCAAATTCGGGTTGAAATTCGGTCCATTAACACGCCTAGGAGACTCAAAAAAAACAGAAAACTGCCATGTCTAAGCTATCGCATACTTGATACATTGATATTCACCACAATAAAGCATTACAATTTTAGTTACAGCAACTTTGCTATGAAACTAATAAGTGATTTCATCTCCTGGTCGACACAATTTCTGCAGTCCTGCACGTTCTTGTAAGATCTTACGCATAACAGTTTGGAATAGAAGCAAAAAGAATGGTCAAACGTATTAACAAGTGATACATCTACAAGAGAACAAGAAAGAGAGCCTAGTGGAAAGGTTTTGGCCACCCACCTTTCTCCCCGGTATGTCCCTCGTGGGTTCAAGCCTCGCCCCATGAAAATGCTTCCCCTACTCTCTGGATGTAATGGTTCTGAAAAAATATGATACCAGCAAATATCCAAGAGGGGGCTAACAAGACAATCCGACATGTTTTCCACTTCGCAAAAAGGCATCAGTGAAGCTAGCAACAATGTGATGAATATGGAACGAAAACTAATTAGACTAACTATGCAAGGAAGCTAGACAAAACTTATGGAAGAGTAAGATCACAGGCAGAACACTTAATGAACAAGTGAAAAAAAAACTTACCCAAAAAGGTCAGACAGATGCTTGCTTGTCATTACATGCACTCTGTCAACCCCCAAATTTAATCTTGATCCGAGAACTCTTTTCCTCTATCTATCTTCTCATCATGCCACTTAGAGAAGCCTTCTACTAGTGCATCTCTCATCCATGGATGTCGACAACACTCTACTGCTTTAGGTATGGCTAGCCAATTTCTTCTTCTAGTGTTCTGTTCTGGCCACGATTCAAGCTCTTCCTTGACGAGCAAAGAAAACATTGCTGCTTTACAGACACCTTCTGGGCTACATTCATCTTGACGGGTTTTGCTCTTGAAGTGGTAATACCCAAGAAATCCCTGAAAAAATGTGAAAGCACAAATTAATTTCTACTAGTGTTCTAATCTTGCATTTCCTGGAGTGGGGAGATGGATTTTGGCCAGGAGATATAAGAATAGCACATGTGAAGCAGATATGTTCCAGTAAAACAGAGAAGGCAAAATGAATCAAGGACACAGCAGATGAAGGTGCTGAAGCTATCTGAATGGCAATAAGAATTCTGCCGCCGACTGCAATGGGTTGGATCAAGAACCATCAGACCCAATAAACAAAAACCTAGAACCTACAATAACGTGAATACCATAGATCTTGTTAAAATGAAAGAGTTAAAACCATGGCCACAATTTCTACAAGGAGCTATTATACAACACTGGTCCAAGAAAAATAAGTCATATCTGACTACCCCCAGTAACGTGTTCCAAGACAGCTTAGCAGGTGCAACATCTGTGCTTATTTCTTAAACTACAATATTTTGTTATATAGCTTTCTCCAGAAGGTATAGCATAATAGCTAGAAGTAAGAATGAATATGGACTTCCATTAAACCTAAATGAGTTTGTTCGTTCATCTTAAATAAAACATTGCAGAAAACGAATAACAACTAATTTTGATGGTGTAGGATCAATTGTAGAATTTTCGAACTCAATGCTTTCAGTTTCTTCACCATCATTCTTCAATGGAAGACATTTTCCTACTCACTCCAATAATGAAAAAATTCCTTAATTGGAATGAGATGAAAGATACGGGGTCAATCACATTAATGATGCCTTAATTTGAATTAAATACTATCGTTCTTCATCACGTCAACTACAGGAGAAAAATATTACATATTATATTCACAATCCCGCCCACACACCCAAAAAAAATGAATAAATAATTTGAAAAGCCATCTTCATGCCCTCTCATGGTCTCTCAAAACTTTGGAGCATCCATCAGAGTTATCAGTTACATCCTTTAGCTGAATGCAGGAAATTTTTGGTGGAAATAGCATTTCTTGAGAAAATAGGAGAGGAGAGGGAGAGGGTGAGGGAAGGAGTTGAAGGGAGACTTTTATCATAATGACAAACTAAGTTCTCACCATTAAGACCCCTCGAACTCCAGCTTCTTCTGTAGCTTCCCTTGCTGCTGCCTCCTCAACAGTTTCATCACCCTCCCAGCCTCCCTAAAAAGTTGTCTCAAGTTAAAAAAAGATAACCAGGATAAATCTGAAGACTCTGAACATGTTAAGCATCAAAATAGACAACAATTCCTACGCGAAATACAAATCCAACACATTAACAATTTGTAGCATGATTACATGACCAAACATACTCCATCTGAAGGAGTAATTGGTGTAATTTGATAGCTTTCCCTAGACAATTACATAAAAGTTACCTAAAAATGATATTAAAAGACCCATTTCACAGAAACATCTAAGATGACTGTTTCCAGAAACATCAAGACAATTACATAAAGGAAAACAATAAAAAGAGGCATGTTGTAAAAACTTCTCATCATCTTCAAAAAATTCAGTACAATTAGCCCAGATTTATCATCAAGAAGATTCTGTATTTGATAAACATAGATTGAGAACATATCAGGGTGTCATATTTGCTTCATGAATACAAGAGAGAAACATAAAAGTTCATCAGGTCTTTCTGTGGAATCTCAACACACACACACACACACACATTTGCCTGTCAAATACAGTGTAAAATAAGCATAGGCCCGTCAAAGCAGTAAAGAAAAACAACTTATAAAACATTGGAACCTTAAGAGAAACTAAAGGTTGAAGCATTCAACTCCGAAGCCGACATTCATAACTTCAGAAAAGAAACCATGAAATTTGGTGCACTGAGCTCTAATTCATGCATCTCTTTCTCAGTCGATACCCTCACCAGCTGCCTCATCTTATTCAGTACAATTGTACAAGTCCCCTCAAAATTTGCAACCGTGGCACAGATATTTTCAACTGGGGGTTGTGGAGTAAAGAAACGAAATGCTTCAACAATAAATGGTACAAGGCAGCTGCCTGGCTGTGCACTACTGAAAATGAGAAACAATCCAAGTAATCATTTTTTTTCATTTTTCTCCCCCAACTTTAATCATAGGAGCATTTCTTATATATTGGTTACACTTAACCCGATATACCCAAGAAATACCACCTCCAACTCATAGTTTTTTTACATATGCTCATCAATACTCGCAATATCCAGAATAATAGGTATTATATTGCAAAATGCTCATCAATACTCACAATATCCAGAATAATAGGTATTATATTGCAAATCACATGATAAACTAACACTTTTGGAAGTGGATGCAAAATGCTAGGCACTAAAATAAAAGACATCACAATATCACATTCTCCATGATGCGATCTACTCAGCAAAGTGCTTGCTATATTTACACCATCATCCATAGTCCACTAAATTCCTACTTTGTTATTTTCCTTATTCTGAAAAGTTGCATTAATTTGCGTCAATTTCTTATTTTCTTGTCCCTTTCCCAAAAGAAACACTACTCTATATGGAGGGACTTTTAAACCCTAGCCGTATTTTTAGAAATATTTAATCATCTAAAAATGCTAAGGCTTATCATTAACGCGAAGGGAAATCTTTTGGGCAAACTTTACTTTATGCCCTTGTAGTTTGCACATCTCCTCCCTCTTCTTCAAAAATAGTAATATAACCCTCTCATGATTTGTGGACCAAATTGAACCATTAACACTGGTAACTGCAGTGACAAAATAACCTGAATACATGGTTCAAGGTTCCGGTATCGATCATTTACTTGGGGGACATCGGTCAAAACACAGTATCTACCGATACACTCAAAATGCTATACAAAAGGATCAAAGAAATTTGAAAAAATCATAAAAAATTATAATAAATGTAAACATCATCATCCATGCATCATATCCCCAAAATGCATTATTGACCACATTAATCATTGTAAAAATGAATAATAAGGGAGGTGCCAAAAATATTTGTCATCATCTATGTTCAATATAAGCATTTAAGCCCATGCTAGGCCAATATCATTGCCACATTGCATGGCGACGAGGTTCGAAATCATTATTATTTTCTCCATGATAATTATACAAGTTCGGTAAGTAATTCCCACTATAAGAATATGGATATAAATATGAATGCCCTTCTGATTGTGTTCGTTGAGATGATTGGCAAGATGATTCATAATCAGAGTAAGAGGACTGCGGAGGTTGTGCTAGCTCAACCCCATGTTGATATTCAAAGTCACTACCAGTAGAAGACTAAGCGTATCTATAATAGTAATACCACCTGTGGACAAGGTAGAAGATCCATGGTTACGCCTTCTCCAAAAATGATCATAGTAACCATCAATG